GCTCTTGCATTACACATCAGAGCTGTCCTTTTCCTCATTCTAACAATCGCACTTAACCAACAACTGGAAGTATTGTGCTTGTCCTACCGCCGTCCCGCTGACCTGGACATGGTCGCATTAATCAACAATCAGAGGGAGAAACCTACGCGCAGGATCAAACGTAGAAACCGGTATCAGACAACTTCAGGCCTGCAGTCACAGCAGGACATGAGGTGTTTCCTCTGATTCGTTTCCACCTCCTGATGATGGTTTTATCCCATCGACAGCTTTCCAAACAAAATAAAGCCAGTAAAGAGAATCTAACAGTAACTTTACAGCATAAAACCCTGAAAACTCTCAAAGGGTCCAAAAGAAAATGACTCATAGATTCTTATTGCAAATAAAACAGAAGCATCGTGACCTGATTCGGCCTGTAACCGTTAGTGTGAGGGTCACATCTGTGAGGGCCTCAGTAATGCTGAACGATAGACGCAGTTTGCAGGAAACATGAATGTTGTGCTTTTCTGCACGTGCTCCAGCTGTGGGAGCTGTGGAACAGGAAGTATGACCGCACAGACTGTACTCTGTGTTATTTACATTTCCCACTTTGCTTCGTTTTGAAGCACACGAGTCACACTTTGATGTTTTGGAGACCATCCATCCACCCCGGCCTCCTCGTTCATCAATCACACTGCATCATGATTACTGTAGCAGATTATAGTTTTTAATGTACTGCAGCAGGTTGCACCTCCTGAACTTTTGGGTGTTTTTATGCTGTCATCTCATTAGAAATGAGCCTTTTTGTTTCTGGAGGTCGTTTTGAAAAGTTTTATATATTTTTGTCTAAAAACTCAGAGATTTTATCAACTAAACTGAAAATATTAGAGATTGATCTTTGGTTTGTGAAGTGGAGCTGTACTTGGAGACGTCTCTGTGCCTCATCCTCATGTCGGCTCACGTGTTAAAAACGGCTTCAGAGCTGCTTTGGGGGAAGAAAAAGTCATCTGAGCGAGTCCCCGAAGTCTGTTTTGGTCTCATTATGAATTACAAGCTGCCAGGCCAGCCCTACAGTAGTTTAGATCCCCGCTGATGACAAGACGCCTGCCGGTTCAGTTTGTTTGCAGCTGAGCTTCCTCTGTGCCAAAATGTACATCGCCTCCCTCCCCACGAGCCCTCGCCCCCTCCAGTTTGCCCTTGTTCCAGTAAAACGTCTTTAACCCCTCCTATTAGCACACTGGGCTCCTTCCAATCTGCCTTTCGTCCTCCTAATTTGTCATTTCATTTCCCAAGATATCTCCTCATTATCTTCTCTTTCCTCGCCGACTTGTTTTATGGCTTCCTCGACACCCTTTTCTCTCCAGCACGCCCTTCGCCGCCTCGACGTGCGAGCTGCGATGCAGTCAGTTAGATGGATGGATACAGTTTGCAGTTAGACTGACGGTTTGCCCTTGGCGGAGGTGAAAATCAGATCTTTTTTCCCCCGAACCCTGCTTCACCCCACCGATCGACTTACTTGGTGTCACTTTCAGAGGAGAGTTCTGTGTCGTGGTGTTTAAACGCAGGGAATCCTGGGAGACTTTGTTGCCTCCGTCTAAAATTGATACTCTAATGTGCACCAATTAAAGGAGGGAACAAAGGTTTGCTTGTTTTTGATTGAGGAAAAACTCACCTGCCTCTCAAAAGGACAATTTGCCGCTTCCTGCAATTTGCAAATCACTGTTGTCACTGCTGCAGTTTTATTATTTCCTCAATAATTACGAAGCACTGCCGTGCTCCAAACAATCCCCTGCACACAAATACTGTACGAGTAATTACAAGCATGCACGGAGGCGAGCTCAGCCCAATAAAATGGGACGCAGCCAAGCGGCATATGACTCCCCTCGTCAGAAGTTGGCCCGGAGTCCTCGAGGCCGACCCAGTGATGCAGCAAAACATGACACTGCTGAGCTCTGTTTTTTTTACTTTTCTTTTTTCTTTTTTGCGAGCTGGCAGCCGCAGCGCTCTTCCTCGTCGACGGGAAGCGAGGCTGCCATCGCTGCTCGGATGAAAAGCTCGGGCCTGCAGCTCCGTCTGCCTCTACGCTTCTTACTTTCCCTCGTCCAATCTGTTTTCTCCAGCTCTGTTTTCCCTCTCTGTCGCCCCTTTTCTCTCCTTCCATCCGTCTCATTTCTCTCTCCTCCCACACTCTCGTGTCCTTTCTCTCAACCTCTTTACTGCTAAGCACTCGCGCTTTCTTCCCTTCTTTTGTTTTTTTGGCTCCTACACACTCGTCTTCCTATACATGCACTCCCTGCTCTGTTCTCTCCAACTCCTCCCACACTCTTCTTTTTGTTTTATCTCCTTTACCGTCTCCCTCCCTCTTTTCCCACTTCACCTCTGGCAGCAGCTGGGTCTCTGGCCAAGTATTTTAAGCAAACGCACAAGGAGAGAGGATCTGAAAGGAGATTGAAGTATTTGCTAGAATTTGGCCCGTATTAGGGCTGCGTATTGATTGCTTTATTGGGTTATTAGTGCACCGTTTCCTGGAGTGCCTTTTAAGAGCAGCTTAACTCCCATTTTAGCGTAAACGCGCACCTGGGCATCTCTAAAAGCTGTGATCAGCTGCTTGCTCTCACAGGTTAGGGCGGACCGATGCTGCAGCGGGTTATCCTCCGTGTCTGGAAATGTGGGTGTGGCTCAGATTGGAGCGTTGCAGTTTGTGTGGGTGTAAAGAGCAACAGAGCGTTTCTGCAGCCTCTCTTTGAAGGTTACTGGATGTATTTCTGCGTTAAACTATAAAATCCTAATTTAATGGACACAAAGTGTTTAATCAAGCCTCATTAAATAACATGTAAGTGCAACTCTCCTTTAAAGCAGGGGTGAGCTGGCTGGGTCAGTAAAGCGATGCACGATGCAAATATTCCAAATGTTTTCCCGTTGAGCGTAAATAAATGTGTCTCCTGAAGCGGAGCCAAGATTTTATAAAAGCTGGAAGCAGGTGAAAAACAACCGCTGCCACGCTCGGTTTAAAATTAGCCAGACGACAGGTTGTTGGATTATTTTTCTCATTTAATGAGCATTTCATTAGCAAACAGATGACGAACGGCACGAGATGTCTGTAGAAAAACGTTTCTCCAGCCTCATTAAACTCACGTTACAGTTTGGGATCCTGTGAAACGCTCAGATACGTCGGCGAGGCCTGAACCGGACACTTCAGCGTGTTCGACCCCCTTTTTTAGAGTCTCTCCCGTGCCCCACGCCAGACTTTTGTATGGTTATGTTTTTACATCCTTCACTGCATCTTCCCTTCAGCTGCAGGGTCGGTGGTTCAGTCATCATTGGTGCCGCACGGCGTGAAGGTCCTGGGTTTGAGTCCCGGCTGGGGCTCTCTCCTCGTGCCTGTGTGGGTTTCTTTTCACAGAGGAAACACTGTGGATGTGTGGGCGGAGATGGCTGGTAGAGAAGCGTCGCGGCGAAGCAGGAAGTAAACGGTGATGTGGCGTTCGGCTCGTTTCCAGCTCCGTGTTTTCAGTCTCAGACTGAGCCACGTCTCTTACGCTGGGACCTGGTACAGCGCTTTGGTCCATTAAGCTAATATTCTTCTGATTGGTCGCCCCTCTTAAACGGTGGGTGGGGCTTCTGTGGCTGAGATGACCATAGTAGAAGTCCTCACACAGACTTCACTGATAATTGAGCACCGACACAGATTTAAATCGGGAGAAGCAGAACGGGCCTGCCCTTTACTCCTATCAGTCATTTTTAAATCATTTCCAAGTGAAACTTTTTAAACTCGTGAACTCTGCAGTGCTCGGGCGCTACAGGCTACAGGTCCTCACAGGCCCCTCTGGTTACCCAGTAACCGAGACCTGACCCAGGGACCTGAGTTGGGCTGGGTCCAAAACCATATTCAGTCTAATCAGGTTGCGCGGGGTCGGGTCATGCTGTGCTGCAGCAGGTTTTAGAGGCAGACGGAGGGAGGAGGTGGACTCTGGATTGCATCTATTCGCCCCGCGGTGCGTTCGGTTCTTTCCAACGAGGTTTGGGACTGAAATTTTGAACTCCTCGAGGCGAGCGCGTCGGACACGTTTGGGTTCGAGTCGTTTTTTTATGAATTGATTGTCGGTGTTTTTATGCTCGTTGTTTGAGGAAACGCCATTAGCCGAAGCGTGCAATAAGCAGCAATGTAAATGCATGAGATTTATAATAACATAGGATTAGTTCAGTCTCATTGCACAGTGCAACAATTCAGACGGGCTCTGGATACTCTGCAGCTATAAAATGTGTCTCCCGTGCAGGCGATGAGAAGCTGATCAAGGCTGCGAGAGCATGAAATATGTCCAGCATTAAGTGACACATGGGACAAATAACAGCTTGCCCAATACTAATTAAGTGTTGAAGTACCCATTTTTTTCCCTGGCAAATGTGTTTTTCCCCCAACTGATTGGGGCACCTTTTCAAAGCTTCAACTTTCCTGATAGAAAGTGCACCAAAACCTCATTTTATTATCCGTTAAAATTTTACTGTCAAATGGAAATGTTTTCGTCGTCCTCTCATCTCTCTCGTTCTCTTCATCTGCTTTCGATTGTGCCTCTTACTCTCTGTTCCTCTGCTCTCTGCTTATCTTTCCCCGTCTCCCTTTTTCTTCCTCCTGAAACACTCTGTTGTCCCTTTCCTCTCCTCCTCCTCCTCCTTTATGTTTATCTGCCTTCTTTTCTCGCTCTTCTTCTCCTCCATTCTTTCGCCGTCGTCTCTCTCTTTCTGTCTGCCAGGCCATGGCCTAGTTAAAACGTCTTCTGCTTTGTGCCTGTTCTCTTTCATTAGCTTGGAAGTTTTCAGACTCTCCCTTCTTTCTTTTTCCCCTTATCTCTGCGCGCCTTCGCCACTCTCTCTCCTCTCTCTCCTCCCATTTACCTGCTTTTTTCCTTTTGTCCTCCTTTTATTATTGCACTCTTCTGTATTTATTCACACCTATCTTCCTCTCTCTCCCCGTCTGTTTTTACCTCACTTTCTCCGTTCCATTGTGTGGATGATAGCTGTCAGGAGATCTCATCACTGAGTCTCTCTTATTACATGATTACAGGGTAATTATCCTGTGAAGTTGTCTTTGCCCGAATCTATGAAAGGCGCTTAATGTCTTTTTAATGGGGTTTGGAGTTTGGAGACTTTTTTTTGTCTTTTGTAGTTGCCGTGGACGTCTTCAATTTATCGCATTTACATGTGATTGGCCTGGAACGGCGTGTCCTGATTAAGTGGCACTCTGATTCATCATAATTTTCGAGCGTGGCGTCTCGAGTTGTCAGCCGGACTTCCTTTATTTTTAACTTCTGGCCTTCTGGTGTTGTCAGCAAACGCTGTCGCCTGCCAGGGCCTGATTAGACCGGACCCGACGGAGCCAGTGCGATGCTAAGATGAGCGCCAACAGGCCTGACAGACCTGGCTCGGACATTACAGGAAAGGAGACGCAAAATATCACGTCGCTAATTAAGCTTGGAACCTCCCATCTTTGGATGGGGAGTTACAAAATGATCAGATCTGCTCCAGAGGGTTTCGCCATGACTTGTGGGCAGTAAAAATGGCTGACTTTGTTTCCCTAACATGGTTATAGGTACTCTTCATACGGGAATGCTTGAAATTATTAGCCTTGCAGAGCCTGCGAGAAGCATCTAGAGGTCAGTAGAGTAGTAATTACTCTCTCTAGTAACCATAGGAGCAAGTAATAAGTGCCTGTTTAAATTACAGATGTATGGGAAAAATCAACATCTAGGCTTGATAGTGCCATAAACCTGCGTTCTTTCTTTTGGCCCGCAGGGGGCGACTCCTCTAGCCTGTGGCCCTCGGCTCACTTGATCTGCGGCCTCGGTAACATTTTCCTGATGAGTTTGTGGTCTCCGGCGCTAGTTTCACGTCTCGCTGAACAAACATTAACCTCGTAAAGTTTTTGTCCCATTCCAGTAAAAACTTAACGGGCCTACCATCTGACTGTCAGGTGTGTGGCCACGGCGAACATTAAGACCGGACTTTAATAACCGATAGGTGACTACATCCATGCATGTTAGAGAAAACACTAGCATGGACCGTTCCAAGTTCTCCATGTGCAAAAAAGCAAAATAAAAGTTTTCCCGTCCTTCCCATGGCTGGACTTAATTTTCTTTGTGTAAGCTTTCATCAGTCTGCATGCTTTGGGACTTTGTGGTGGTAGTTTTTAAGTTTAGCCCTGGCAGATTCACAGTGACAGCTTTCCCAGCTCTCCGGATAACTATTGATGAAAACTTGACTTTAGAAAAGGGTCAGGCCTTTAGTGTCCAGTCTATGGACTACACAGTTCTAGATAGAGTCTGTTTACGGTCGACAAATCCAGAAACCTGTTGTGTGTTTAAACGACCCGTCATCAGCATAAACAGCTGTTTGACGCTGGTAGGCAGCGTCTCTGGTTTGCAGTGCTGACTTTGTGGGTTTAGCTCGGTCTGGCTGCAACAATTATATAGTTAATATAAGATGATTCAACCAAAGAGCAAGTGTGTCCTACAACTCGTTTTTTTTCCTCATGCAATCATAAAACTTTGGTTCAGAGGACATTTTTCACTGTGCACTCGGTCAGTATCAAACTTTAGTCGAGGTGTCCGTATTTTAGCCACTGGGGATCTGGACAGCAGGCGGTAACGCTGATGTTTGAGCCGTTTCCAGTTCATGGCAGGTCTGTTCGGACCAACCAGAGCAGCTTTCACCCTCTCAGCTCAGGGTGAAAGTTTGGATAGTTTTTCAGACCTTGGCACAGTAGCTGCACTTCCTGAGAAGAAACAGTGGATTGAACGGATGATCTTGGAACATGCAGTCCTTTAGAAACGACTCCAAGATATCCCTGACTTATCTAAGCTCCCCAGATTTTCACATGTCGCCGTGCATCAGTCAGTCGAACGATTTCCCTTTATGTGTTGGCACAGAGACTCCACCGTGGCTGGTTAGGACATCTAAGTGGGTGTATAAATGTTCTTGACCTCGTATATATTATTTTCACCCTGTGTTTATTTCAGGAAATCTAAAATAAATTAAAACTTGTTCACTAAATTATTGAGTTTGTTTCTTTTTCTCATAATCTTAGAGGTTGTGAAATAATTCAGCTCCAGAAAAAGTTCTCAGAAATTGTGAAATATGAAAGCATTACTAAAACATTCATGTCCAAGATGATAAACTTTTGATTAAAACTGTATCCCTATAAGTGATTCTCTCCACTCTTTTTTCCTGTTCCTGTGCTGATTTCACCTCAAACAAAGGATGTTTCATCAAAAACGCTTGTTTACCAAAGTGCAGATTATCTAGTTTTCCCCTCTTTCTTTCATTGCCCATCATGCACTTTCCCTGTTGTTTATCCTGTTTGGAGTGAACATCAGACACAAACATTATTGTAGTGACGTCTTTCTCTCTCCGACATGTTTTTCTCAGATTTTTAGCCCTTTCTAAGTGGCTTCCTCACAGCTCACTGAACACAAACAGTATTAATGTGTCGTTTTCTCTCTTTGTCTTCGTCCCCGTGCAGCTTGAACGCCGCTGCTGTCTGTGATGCCCTCCCATGACGCCGAGGTCGGTAGCTGACACTGCCAGTGAGCGGGAGACGCCACTGCACAACCGGTCCTGGGCCAGCGCCGTCAGCCGGTTCTCGCCCTCCCTCTCACACACTGGAGACTCCACATCCAACCGCCTACCACTTTCCACAACCACCTGCTCCGTTCCGCCCCAGTAAAGACCCCCCAACGCAGACACGCTGACGTCCTCGACCAGCACCAGCAGCAGCAGCAGCAGCCAAAAACAATATCGTCAACACAATCAGCAACACCAGCACCACCATCATCACCAGCAGCAGCAGCAGCAGCAGCCGCAATCATGTCCAGTCGTAGGAAGTCCTCCACCCCCTGCATGGTCCGGGTCATCAGTGACCTGCCTGATGAACAAGATGACCCGGAGGAGGTGATGGACATGGAAATATTGGCAAGCAAAGATGTGAGAGAAAATGAACCACCTGAATCTGCGAAAAAGAGTCAAAACCTCATGAAGGATAATGGAGATAATCCAGACCAGAAGGCATTTCCAAAACACTTAGACAAAGAGCAGCAGTCTGGATGTGAAGATCACCCCCCTGTCATCGAAGATGTAGAAGCCAGAGGGGGGAAGGACAAAGAAGCGCCAGAATCAGACCCGGTGTCCCAGAAGAAGCAGGGAAGAGGTTACGAGTGCAAATACTGCCCGTTTTCGACGCAGAACCTGAATGACTTCAAAGAACACGTGGACTCGAGCCATCCTAACGTCATTCTAAATCCACTGTACCTCTGTGCTGTCTGCAACTTCAACACCAAGAAGTTTGACTCGCTCACAGAGCACAACGAGAGCCGGCACCCAGGTGAGACGAACTTCAAGTTCAAGAGGATAAAAATGAACAATCAGACTATCTTAGAGCAGACAATCGAAGGCAAGGACAATTCAGCTGAATGCGACGTGACAAATGAAAAAGGTGAAAGCCACAGTAGCTCTGTGTTTCCACCTTGCATATCTACCACAGTGAAATCTCCGGGTAGTGTGCACACGCTCTTTGGAGGGAGCGAACTGAAAAGCCAGCTGGACGGTTTGATCCAGAAGGACCAAATCACAGCAGTGAACATCAACGGAACAGTCATCATCCCTGAACCCACCATCGTCCAAGGGCTCTCCCATGTCACCCCAATGCTCCAGCGTCCACCCAACTTTAACTCTGTACCAAAAATAGCCGTTCCCTTGAACACCACCAAATATAACCCTTCTTTAGACAACAACCTGACGCTGATCGCCTCCTTTAATAAATTCCCATACCCAACGCATGCTGAGCTGTCATGGCTTACAGCTGCCTCCAAGCACCCGGAGGAACAGATCAAAGTCTGGTTCACTACCCAGCGGCTGAAGCAAGGTATCACTTGGTCCCCAGAAGAGGTGGAGGAAGCCAGGAAGAAAATGTTTAATGGCTCCATCCCTCCTGCTCATCACACGTTCACCGTCTTGCCTACAAGCCCCATCTCTCAGCCGTCTGCCAAAGCCTCACAGCAGCCCATCGTCCACACGACAGTCGAGCATCTCGGTCACGTCCGGACGACTGCGCCCAATGGGCTAACTGTAGTCACCACAAACTCCCCGGCAGGCTCTAGCCACTCCCTTAAGCGACCCCTGCCGACACAGCTGTCAACAGTGTTTGAGTCCAAGCGACCCATCATGGCAGTGGCGCCCCACTCTGGTGACCCTAAAGACAAGGTCCTAATGGCTCCTCCCCCACCACCTCCTCCCCCAAAAGGCCGCCTCCCAATGGCTCCACCTCTTGTTCCCGTGGAGATGAAAAGACCTGTAGCAGTTCCTCTGGTTACCACAGAGATGAAGAGGTCATCCGCTGCTGTGCCTTTAATGCCACCGCCTCCATCGTTGTCATCATCATCTTTGTCTTCCAAAGGGAAGATTCTCTCGGCGTCAGGAAATCCCAAAACAAAGCCGGTGGTGTCTCTGCCCTCCATAGTCTTTCCAGAGTCGTTAACAAGGCCAACGATTGCCCCCCCACCGATCTCTGTCTCTCCGTTCAGAAACAGTTTACTTATTCCCCGTACCGTGCCCGTCCCTTCCAAAGAAAAACACCCCAGTTCTCACAATTTGCCAGCTTCTGATTTAAATTTGCCGAACTCCCCTCCGCTCATTACTTCACAGGTAAGGAGGCCGACAATTATCCAGTCCATTCGTGCTCCGGCTAAAGCTCCATCCCAGATTTCAGCGTTCTCCTTGGATGGCAAGAAATTAAAAGAGCAGCAAGGAGTGGAGCTGAAAGCCAGCTACCCCAGAGGAGACAAGGTAGTCAGTCCTCTGCCAGAGGCCAATGGAACGTCTCGAATGGACGGGAAATGGCCCTTTGATCAGACCTCTCCTGGTCACAATAATGGAATCTTACATTTGGACGGTGGGGACATCCCAGCAGTACCAAAACCAGATTTTCAACATAAGTCCTCGGTGCTGACCCAGTTCCCCTTGCTGGAGAGGATGAAAGGAAAAACGGCAAAACAACTGAAGATCTTGGAGGAGAACTTCTTGCGGAACAGCTTTCCTACACACAGCGACGTGGATAATCTGTCGGCCATAACCCGCCTGTCTCATCAGGAAATCGACAGCTGGTTTGCAGAGCGCCGCGCGCTTCGTGACAACCTGGAGCAAGCCCTTCTGAACTCCATGGGCACTAAAAGGATGGGCGGCAATGGCATTGGTGCCATCACTGAGAAACAGCTACATCAGCACCAAGCACTGCAACTGAATGGGATTCACAAACCAAGCACCGGTGTAGGCCTCCTTAAAAGCCCTCCACCAACTTCACACCCCCTGTCCATGATTGCTCCTGGCACCATTGCACCTTCCGTCCCCAATCTGAATTCCTGCTCAGTGCCTCCAGACGGCCGATCCCTGGCGCTCCTCAAGGACGATTTTGCTCAAACGCGGTGGCCTTCCCCTGAGGAGTTCAGCCAGCTGGAGGGTCGGACAGGACTGGCTCGCGGAGAACTGGCCCGCTGGTTCACCGATAGTCGGCTGCAGAGCGGCAGCATGGACTTGGCAGAACTTTTTCACAACAATGGCGTGAATGGAGGACAGGGGCTGCCTATGTGTTCCCCTGAAAACGTTCCACCCAGCATCATCCAGCGCTGTCAGGAAGGAGCCGTAACAAACAACAACAGTAAGGTGCTGGAGGTTGAGATGGGCTGGCTGATGGACCAGCGCACCAACAGCCTCAACAATCAACAGCACGATGAGCTCCAAGACCAGTTTGCTGGCAGGTACTTAATTCACAGTTCTTTACTTTGACATGTTTTCTGTTTAGCAGAAATACACAGAATATAAAGTGGTTTTCCTCATACAGTCCAAGAGATGGCCTTATGGGTAGGGTTAACTAGGTTTTAGCCACATGCTAAACAATCATAGATTCAGAAATGAGAAGATGTTTGCTTTTAAAAGTTATTTTAAATGATATTTTAAGAGTTCCATTTGGGTTTGCCAAATAGGTCAAATAAATAATTGAAAGGCAATCTGTTGTTAGCGGTTAGCCTCTTAGTCACCTCCAGACCTGGACCACCACAGACCCATCCATGGTTAGGGTAGGGTTTTATTTTAACCTCATGCTGAATAGGCAAATTTTCAGAAACCTAAGTTAAAAATTTTGGATGGATTTTTTTATGAAAAGCATTTTCATTTGCTGTGGATGTCAACCTTATGAGGTATCGTCTAAGTACCACTAATTTTGAAAGTTGAAACTTTACCAGCTTAAGAGTCCATGGTTTATTTCCCTTTGACGACTTTCGGTTCACGTTTTGCCGAATAGTAAGTTTCAATCCACTGGTAGCCACTGGTCATAAGTGGAAAGGTGTGTATTTTGCAAGCATTCGCGAGGGTTTGATGGAATATGCTAGCATCAAATTGGTCACAAAGAGGTCCACAGTGCTGCACTGAAAACCTCCTTAGAATTGTTTTGGTCTCTAACAGGTCGCTGCAGTTGTCTGTAATTTGCATGGAAGCCACAGACTTGTCTGTAAACATTTACCAGTTGCTGGCTTCCCTACAGACCGGCCTGCAGGCCTGTGTAATGAATGTTGAAACCCTTTGTTTAACCAGTCATGCAGGCAGATAAAATTACTGTGAAATGTTTACGATTACATTTTTACATAAAGCAAACAATCAGAATAAAGAAAACTAAACTGTTAATGGAATTTAAGCTGCATGTCGTTCTCCATTTACCTGCCCTCGTTTGATCTACAAGAAGGTTTTAAAGGTTTTAAAGCGGAGTGATGGCTATCATGATTCAGCATCAACAAGTTAATCAAGACATCAATACGAGTCTGTGAAAACACAAAGAAGGAGACGCTCAGTCTCAGCCCGGTGTGTCGATCAGAGATGTGATTTAAGGTTTCAGTCTTACATTTGAGAAGCGCTTTGATTCGGTGAGAACAGGATGAAGATATAATGTGGAAGTTTTTCTGCTTTTGCTTTTTTACTGAAATGTTTTTAAAAGCAGGTCGTGTAGTGAAGGACTCTTACAATGCTGCGTAAGTATATGTAAAGTGACTGAATAATTTGCCACAATTGGCAGAGAAACAGCAAATTAAGCCCTGAAATCACGGATACGTAGTCCTACACTGACAGCTGCTGACAGCCCTCTATAATTCCCCCGTTTCTCAGTGTGACCACCTCCTTTATTATGTAGATGAAATGATGGAAATGAAAATAATTTTTCATAAAGAGTCGAGTCAATCTTATTCCTATATCCCAGTCACCAAATTCCACCTCGCTCCTTCGCTTCTCCTCGATAATTCGTGCAGTCAGTGTTTACCGAACTGCACCCCTGGTACTTTCAGCACCGTTTTCTACCCACTGGCACCTTTTGTGGTGACCTGTGCAGCCAAAGTAAATTTGCGCTTCCCCTCGGCGGGCTTGTGCTGCTGTTTTCTAGTTGCCACATTAACATTGTTTTCAGGACATTAACCTACAAATCTACATGACTCTATTTAGTCTGCCTCTCCTTCAAGGAGCTTGGGACATGTTTGGCCAAATAACACAGCCATTACGTTGGAAACCAATATCTCCACTATAATTTGGGCAAGCCTTTTATTCTTCCCGTGAGCCTGCTCCGGGTTTCTGGCTCAGCCTTTGAAAACACCACGGCGTGAACCTGCACTGACAGCACACTCGAATCCTTCTGGCTGCTGTTTATTTCATAAACTCTGCAACAAAGCGCGCCGCGTGACGTGCGACGTACAGCCGAACAATGCAGAGCGATAAAGGAAACTGTCAGCGGCGCTCAGATGGGAGTTCGGGGTTAATCGCGTCCTTTTATTTGCCGATGTAAAGCCTGATTTAAAGCACGAACGCGCAGCTCGTCTCAGTGTTTCCGTGGCTGTGACAGAGGCTCGTCATGTGTGGGTTCGCTCTGTTTCCACAGAATTTCCTCCTTCAGTTTTAAATTATTGCGGTGATTAGTTTCTCCTCGTTATAATTAAAAACGCTCCACTTATGACCCACTCGCGTTAAATACGATTGTGCACAATCACCTCAGTGGCATCTCAAAAAACCTGATTGACAGTTCTTGTTGGTGCTGAAGGACAAACGACTGATTTTTAGTCCAGTTTCTTTGTGTGGGCTGCTCGCACTTTCACCTTTCTTTCATGTTTGCTTCACGTGTGGCTGCTCGTCACTGAGACACTGGAACTAAAACACTTAGTTTCCTTTAACAGCTTCAGGCTGTTTTTAATGACGAGAAAATCTAAACCTTCAACAATCTTAGGCCCAGGACGGCATTTATGCTTCCCCTCCCATTAATTTCACATTTTTACCTCACCGTTAATTATTTTTTAATCTTTTTTTATTGTTTTATTTATCTTGAACAGACAGCATCATTATAGGACTGGTCGTCACTACGTGACTCTAACGAGACGGGTGAAAACAGCGACAGGAGCCCTGTCTTCAGGGCTACAGAGAAAATTATTCTGAAAAATGTCTGCGTTGGTTTTTCTCAGATGTGAAGTGCAGATGATAACTAAGAGTAACACTGAACACAGGTTTTAACTGCTGGCTGCACCAAAGCGTCCCCAGCAGAGCTCTGTGGGCACTCGTTAAACTCCTAAAGCATCCGTGATCCCACATCAGTCGACTCTCTCGCTGTTTAAAATGTTAAAATGTGTTTCCTGCTATGTGTTCCATCTAACGTGACGCTCTCGGCCCGACAGACTGAGGCAGCAGAGCGTGGCGGAGCTGAAGAACGGGGGACAGAACGGGGGTGTCCTCGGAGGAGTGCGGGAGGTGTTCGGGACCTGGCTGGAGGACTCGAGGCGAGGGCGGGAGCTGCTCGTGGACAGAGAGAAGAAGATGGCGGAGGACGCGTCTGGGAGGCTGACCGGATAAACGGTGAGTTTGAGTTTCGGAGTGTTTCGGTGTCAGCAGCTGTCCTTGGATCCGCAGGCCTCGCCGAGCCTGTGAGGTTCGTTTCATCGATGCTTCGTGTTTTATTTGTGCTCCTGCTCGCCGATCAGAGGATGCTGCTGAAATGCTCCCGAGTCATTTCTGAAATGTTTGAGTTCAGCGACAGCAGACGGCCGCTGAACGGTGCATTCACGGCAGAAAGTATTTAGCGCGTGTTATAAGGGCAGCGTTTTTTAATTAAACCTGTAACTGAATTGCATTCACTGGCAATAAAAGTGCTATTTCTTAGTTAAATGATTAATCACTTATTTTAGAAAATGCCAGAAATGACAAATGACCTCCTTTCAAGCAATTAAATGAAGCATGAATCACATCTTTCAGTGGTGCATCTCTGATTTTGGCCATTCTTCTATAGCGAGAGAAGCACAAATTACCTCCTGTGTGAGTGTAAAAGGTGGAATTTCTCCAGAAACCAAACTTTCGTTGACAAACGTGGAATGTTTTTCCACTTCTGCAATGTTTGCGTCTTTGCTCTCCGGCAGTTTTCTTCTTCATGTTTTTCCCTGTACGTCGCTGCTGCCTCGAGGTCAGTGCAGTCCAGCAGCAGGCTCTCCACCACAACAAACAAACCCGCACGGACACGAACATCCCTCGCAAATAGCTACGAAACATGTGCTTTTTTTGTGTCTTGTGTGTTTCTGTTGTTTGTGCTCGCTGAAGCCTTCCTGCGGTTGTCTTTAAAACACACTTCAGGTCTCACGTTCAGCTTTTTGGCCGAGGCTGTCTGCTGCTTCACTCTAATCTACAGAGTCGACCTCATTACATGAAACTCGACTGAGACCTTAAATTCATCTGGATCGAAGTTTTACAATCAGAGGCCAGATTTGCTTTAGTCTTAGCACAGTCATTCTGGGTCTCTGTTTAGTCACTTCCTGTTTTATTTTGAAACACTATTGAGCTTTATCCCCTCACCTGCATCTACTTGCTTCCTGTTTTATTTTGAAACACTATTGAGCTTTATTCCCTCACCTGCATCTACTCGCTTCCTGTTTTATTTTGAAACACCATTGAGCTTTATTCCCTCACCTGCATCTACTCGCTTCCTGTTTTATTTTGAAACACTATTGAGCTTTATTCCTTCACCTGCATCTACTC